CTGAACAGCATGTGACAAGGTGGCTGAGATTAATTCTGATGCCATCTTGCCTATGCATATGCTAAATACAATAAATCTAAACATCCTCTGCTGTTTTGAAGTATTGAATTATACAGGTGTCCTCTGAGACTGATACAAAAGATTTCTGTCTGTGCACAAGTCGCTGATACAATCATTTAAATGCTAAAATAGATTTCTTTGATCCTTAAACAATGGAAACATCTGGAGATACATAAGCTGATAATGTTATCTTGGGGTGTGTGAATACGGGAAGAGATAAATGAAACTATTTAATTGGGTGTTCCAGAAAACACACACACACACATATATATGTAAGATAGAAATTTCAGGCTGAGCTTCTCATTCATGGTGATGCTATTTATGTCAATTGATATCAGTATCTTTTTATAACAGGCTTGTGTATCGTGAACACACACACACACACAGCAAATGTGAATATTCTTCACCAAACACTTTGATTTTATTCTTTTAACGTTGTAAGTTGCCCAGAGTTGCTTTTAAGCAAGCTGGGTGGCAAACAAATCTAATACACAAACCAAAAAACACACTTCTTGATAGATCATTCTCCATATTAATGGCTCCCAGTTGCAAAGTTACCTGCTAAGAGTGGTAAGCTGCCATTTTAAATTTCCCACAGTGCTCTTTACTACTTATAAAGGAGATTAAGGGAAATTTAAAGCAAGCACTTTGGGGAGTTTGTCATTGGCACAAGGCTATAACAAATCTACTCTGGTGTGGGAAGAATCCAGAGAAAGAAATATTTTGGTAAATATTAAAAAGGCAGAATATATTTCCCCAAAGGCAGAATATATTTCCGCAAAGGATTTTAAAGGCAGAAACCAACCCCCCCCCCAAGTGTCTCTGTCCCAAACAGAAACCAAATCTGCAGAAATCCACTCCCTACATGTGCTCTCTCTCTCTTCTTCCAGAGCCATCTTTCTGTCTGGCTCTCCTCTTCAATAAACTACAACCTTCTTTCTAAAGCAGTCGCCATGTTGTTTATTCCCGGCTTGGACTGGACTCTGATGAAGATTTTTCCTTCTACACCTGGGTCCTCAGGGTAACCTGAGAACTGCAAATGTGTGTGGAGCCTTCTTGGCTGCAGGATGTTTTCTGCTCTGTGTTCCTTCACTGTTAAAGACAGGCACAGGCTATTGGGGATGAGTCTTGCTGTCTGAATCTCAAACTGAAGCACAAATAGTTCCCGTAGTCTGCAATATTTTCTGGAAATCCATTCATATTCTCTCACCATTCGAAGGGTGTTCATCCCAAAGTGCATAGCTAAATGTCTATGGAGATTCTTAGTCATCCAGGTATGGTTGTCAGTGAAGTATAGTAGTCATAAATCTTGGGCTACCCGTAACTTCACAATCTTCTCCAAGTATCATAGCCATGACACCCAAGCAAATTTTTTCAGATATGCCGAGACAAATCTAAAGCTAAATTTCATCCCCCAATCATGAATTTCCATTGCTAGAAACCCTCAAAAACAATTCTTAGTCATATACCTTAAAATAAAAACATAATCTGCCCCAACATATTTTTATATTGCATCTCTCAGGTTCTGTTGACTTCAGCTGATAGCAACATTCTCCCAAAGTTTTCTTTAACAAGATTTATTGAAGGGAATGGAATAAGTTATAAAAATCTCAGCAGTCAAATTGCTTTCATTTTGGAACTCAATTTCTTTGCTTATCGAGGCAGATTTTTTCCCCAGTTGTTTATTAACTGCCTCTCTGTGAACCAACTAATTATCTATTAGTTTTCCAGATAACCAAGTTATTACTATTAGCCAATGTTTTCCCAGTCAGCTTCTGAATCTCTCTCAGGCTCTGAATATACTATGACTTAGTCTTCCATTGTTGTTTACAACATTGTTTACTTTTTGGTTTAGGGCTTAATTAAGAAACAGAAATACATATGCCACCTCCTCTACACAAAGTACTCATAAAAACTTCTCATTAATTTTATGGGGCATGATTGCCATCCCATAATTAATTCAAATACTTCCTTTTGATGGCAGAGGTTCAGCTTCAAAAAATGCGTGGAGGTTAAACAAAAGATTGTAAGTGATGTAACTGGTTGCTTTTAATTAGAAATGTGTAGGAGAAGAGCAGGCAGACTTGGAAGGCAGAGTAAAACAAGTCATCAATTTACATTCCTTTTTTTGCCACAAGAGACTCAGGCCAGTTCCCCCCCCCCCCCCGAATTCGGCAGACTCCTATTTAATGCCTATTTAGTGCTGTTAGTTGACTGGATTCTTGTGTATAGACTTCAATAAATCATTTATGCTACAACCCACATGAAGGGTCCTGATTCTTTGCCCCTGATAAAACGCCATTTATCTCACCAGGAAATATTATATGTAAACATTAGACTAAACCCCAGTTAAAAAAAAGTAGAGACATATTCAAAGTTCTTCTTACTTATTTCTCACATGTTCTCATTTTCTGTAATCTGATCTGTTGTAAAGAATAGTAAAACCTGAAAGCCTTGTTCTTATCTCATTCTTGGTCAATAGTAGGTCAAGAAAGATATCCTTAGAGTTTCAGTTGGGGACAAACTATTCTATCCTTAAATGTGCTCATGGAATACAACACTTCATACATAGCTTTCCTCTCTGCATTCAGTAGTGAATGTTAATTTCAGACAGATACCTTGGTTGAATCTCTCTTATTTGGCTTAATTCTCTTGAATTGTTGTGATAATCCCCTTGGAAAAGTCCTTACATTTACCCTAAGTAGACACCATTCCTGCAGTCTACAGATGGACTTACTAACTTGTGTAACATTGGACAGCAGTGATCAGCCATTGTTCATGGAGAAGGTCTCTGCGGTTTTCTCCAGTGCCTTTGCATGATGTCTCAAAAATATTTAAACATTAACTTCATTATGGTGCTACCATGATAGTAAGTAGTACTAATAAATCTGGTCTTCATCCAGTATAGAATGATTGGATTTTTTTTTTAAATCAGAGATATTCCTAACCCTTTTCTCCAGCATCACAATTGAAAAGTTCAATTCTTTTCATTCAGTCTTTCTGATGGTCCAACTTTTGTATGCTGTAACTGGGAAAACTGTGGCTTTAATAATGGCAATGTGATATCACTACACTTTAATGTTTTATCTATATATTATGGTCCTTCTGCCAAGTAGCAGAAAGTTTTAACCTTTCCCAGTTATTCCCAACCAACAGCTCACTTTTGGCTGGAGGTGATGGAGTTTCATTCCAGCAGTTGAAAGGCAAGCAGTTGGAGAAGGTTGATCTAATCTGATGTTGACAACCATGGGAAACACCTATTTGTACTGGATTTATCCTGAAGCTTGTTAAACCAACATGGGTGCTAAAGTTCACATTCCCTGATGCCAGAACATTGGATATGGTCTCTGTATGCCTGTTGAAGCCCCATGAGTCACATCTTGTTCCTTCATAGCAAAGTGGGGAGTTGTTAGTCACCTACAACAATAGATTATCTTGTCCACAGAAGCTATAATTTGGAGTGTTGACACTTAACAGTGTGGCAGGAGGTTATTACTGCATATGTTTAATGATTTAATACTCTAGACAAAGAACTCAACTGCATGAGATTCCCCAAGACTAAGTCAAAAGTATTCTGAGAAGGACTTTTTGCTCCCACAAGAACTGAGAGATGACAAAGGAGAAACTTATACAAAAAATATTTCCTTAAAAGTCTTAGAGAAGGTGCTTGAAAGACTAGCTTTTCCCATTTGGCTTTTTAAAGGGACATTGCTTCAAGTGGATCTTTGCCTAATCAAATGTGGACTGTGGACAATGAACTTTTAGGCTGGTATTCTTATAGAATAGTTTAGCTTATGTCATTGGGAGAGCAACTCTTCATCCCTTAGCATTCCTATCTCCTAATCCAAAGCATAGCCTGTTCTTGTTTTCCAACTGATGTGAGTTGCATACCCCTAGTTTAAATCATAGTATGAATGTGACCATTGTGGTTACAATGGCAAAAGATGATGAAAGTTGTGTGCTAACTACCTATAGAAAGGTGCACACCATGGCAACCAAAGAAGTCTCCTTCATTTTAGACATGACTGAATGATATAATTATCAAGATGGAAAGGGGCACAGGGGTCACTGAATTCTACCTGCTGCACATTGGAGGAAACTTAATTAAATCATCCTTGATCAATGGCCATCTGATTGGAATGGAAGTCTACCGCTTTTCTTGGTCACATGTTCCATTGAGAATACCTCTTACTGTTAGGAAGTTTCTTCTAATATCCATCAGTATCTGTCATTCTATAACTTAAATCCATTATTTCATGTTCTATATTCTGGAACAATGAAAAATAGACCCACATCTTCTATGCAGCATCCTTTCAGACATCTGAAGAGTCCTACCAAATCCCTCCTTTTTAGAAGGAATCATATAAAATGGAAGAAGTAAAAAAAAAACCCAGCTAGGATGGATCTGGAGACTAAAGATTAAGTCCTATATGGATTTACTGAGAAAATTGACTTGATTTAACCCTGAGAAGAGAAAGATATAGAGAACACATTGTTCTATCTAGTATCTGAAGAATTACATAGATGAAGGTCACAACTTGTTATCTTTCCCCCTAGGATGAGGACATTAATACAAGAAGGCAAATTCCAGTTGAATGTTTTTTTTGTGTTGTTTTTAAAAACACCTTTCTAATATATAAGCAGTTAATAATGGAGCCAGTTAAACATGGAGCCAGTTAAACAAAGAGATGAGAGATACTTTTATTGAGTATGTTCAAAGAGAAGCTGGATGGCTACCTGAGAAGGATAATTTTATTAGGGTTCCTGCAAGGGGAATGGACTTGATGAACCAAAGGGTATATTTTAAAATATATAAAGGAAGATTCAAGTTGCTAAGAGTATTGGTACTGGGGTGTAGTGGGGGAGTCAAATAAAGTTTTGGACCCAAGAAAACTTGGCCACAAACATGGCTTTTACTAATTCACATTTTAATAGCTCCAGAGGCGTGTCAAAAGCACCATCAATATAACACAATGCCAATTTGACCAAAAAGAGAAGCAAAGTTTCCTCTCCCTTTGGAGTTTGTTCAGAATTGTCCCGTGATCCTCAGTTATTCTGGATAGTCTCCTGGATCCAGTCAGTATATCTGCAGACATTAACATAAACTCCTGGCTTATTTGGCTGGGCACATATGTAGGGACCCCAGGATACAATGCCTTGCAGCTTCCCATTGCAGACCAAGGGTCCACCCGAATCACCCTGTCCAGAAAACAAAACAATATATAGCATGAGTCCTTCCTTCTCCCCACCCCAAGAGCACAAGGTAGCATGGATGACGTTTGCTTCTCCTTTATGTTTTCACAGCAACTCTTAAGGTGTGTGAGACTAAAAGAAAGTCAGATATATCCAGTAAACCTCATGGCTGAATGAAGAACTTAACCAATGTCTTTCCACCCTTGGTCCTCTGTCCATCCCCAATATAGAACCATGGTATCTCTCTTAAGCTATGGCTATCTATTTCCTGGTGTTTATTGTTAGGAACATGAGGGAACAAGAAGACTGATATGCTGTCTCATCTTCACTTGCCCACCTTGCCATGTGGGTTGCCAAAAGGAAGAAAAAGGAGAAGCATCCCTAAGAGCAAGCTATAGATGAGGATATTGGTACAGTAACTTGCTTGTCAACCCTACGTAGACATTGCTGCAGAGTAACCTGCCTACGTAGATAGGCAGGTTACTCTGCAGCAATAGTGCCCTTGAGAAGGCAAAGTGGGGAGGGTAAATTATGAAAGCAACACTTGTCGTAGTGCAAGCTCTTTCTCCTCTTCTGTGCATGCATCATGATGCTGCAAAGCCAGGGCATGAATTGCAAAGCTGCAATTATACTTTCATCACTTGATAAAAGTGGTGAATCTTGCAGCACCTCTGCTTTGTATGGATTGCAGCACCCAGTAGAATGTAGAAGTCAGGCATGGGTTTCTGAACAAGCCTGACAAGCCGGTCACATGAAGATGGTTACGGCACATCTTTTATTGTAAGGTTTTTGATAGATGGCTAAACTTGCTGCTCCAATCATCTGTCACCTCCTTTCCAAAGCCAGCTCATTTTAGGGGGGGAGCCTTTGTCCTGCCCCTGGGAAATCAGTCAATCTCTGGACTTTAACCTGCCTTGCAGCAAATTGTTAGGCCTGTACCAGTCGCTGGCCTCTTCATTAAGGTAGAGTAGAGACAAGCTATGGAGATTGAAGTTATTATCTGGCGTACTTTAGTGTCCCCCTCATGGATTAGAGAAAATCCCATTAAAGTGGCTGCCTAAATAGACCCCAACTCCTTTTACCTGGCAAGTATCTGTTCCTCCCTCCATCTTGCCAGCACAGACCATGTTTTCATTGATATAATTGGGATAAATCAATCGGCAAACATTGTGACTGAAGATGGTGATGTTGGCACAGTGTAGAACATCTGGATATTTGGCTGTAAAGGAAGATGAAATTCAATAAAGGAGAAGGTAGATTGGTGAAATGGCATTCTTCTCCTTCCTATTATGATTAGGTCTAAGGTTGTCTTTGGAATGGACCAGAGATTTAAGACCAGACAAAAGGAAGCATCTTAGCTGGGGGTGTTTAACTTGTAGAATTCATTGATAGCCATTAATTTTGATAGCATATGATAGCCATACATTTTGATGGTTTAAAAAAGGAGTAGACAAAAATGTGAAGTTGGGTTCTGGTTCAGCTTTAAAATATTTTTTTGTAACTAGACTCTCCCATTAAACTATCCCAAAGTGGCAAAAATTGCACGTAATCATTGTCTCTTTTGTGACCTTCAATGCTACAAGCCCAGCAGGATGGGTGTCTTAAGCATTGTAAATGCCTCAAGTGCCTTTATAAACATCTGAGCATCCCATAATACTTAGGACTGCCTCCCAGAACAGACAATATTCCTCCGCTGTTTCATTCAACTTGCTCTATGAAACACAATGTAGCCCTGAGCTTACACAGGAATTCATACACTCCACCATTAAACCACAGTATTTCTATTTTGGTTCAGCATGTTGCACCAATTTAATTTCTTAGATTTATTCCATAAATTATCACTAGGCCAACCAACATGTAGAATGATATGAGAACTCAGTTTATCTGTCAATATACCTTGTGGGCTACTTGTTGTACCCCATCCTGAAATGAGGCATTGGGTTCCAGGCTCCGGGCAGCTGGTAGTCAAATTCAGGACTTTGACTTTGTCATTTAAGGTAGCCGGGATCAGCAGTTTAACCAGCATAATATCATTGTTCAAGGTTTGTCGGTTGTACTCAGGATGCACAATGGCTTTTGACGATAACTTGAGCTGTTCTGACCAGTCTATGCGCCTCAGATGGTGTTCTCCAAGACGCACCGGGAAAATGCTGGAAGAACGAGACAAGATTAGCTTCTGTTGCTGGAAAATTGCCCTGTGGCAAAACTGTCATTTTTTCCCCTCTCTTGATGGATCTGCCTTTGTGTCTTTAAAGGCATCTCAGCAGGTAGACCCTGAGAAACCAGAAGTTTTTCTGACAAGAACTTTTATTTATTTTGCTTCCTGATTTCTTAAAAAAAAACCAAATAAATAAATTGAAGCTTTCATTTGTTCACATTGGACTGTTGTGAAAATGAAGGAGCCACAAAATCGGTGGGCGACTCTAAATCTTGGCAAGAGTAATTATATGCCAGCTCTCATTTATTGTATTTTTTTTATTAAAAGTTTTATAAAATTTACATTATAAATCCCCCTTACCCACCCCTCCAACCCCCATCCCCCCCACTCCCCAGAGCTGTTCCCAGGGTTACAAATATTAATCATAAACTAAATAACATTAACCAACTAATTGTATAACCAAATCTATAACACACTTTAACTCCCTTTTACAATAAATTTAAATAAGTTAAAATAAAACACAACATATAAAATAAACAACTTAATTATTAAACAAAACTACTACTCAAAATTATAATAAAATCATACAAACTATTATAAAGTATTAATTTACTTATAAACATTTAATAAACTATTAACAATAACAATATTCTCAAATTTACATTTATTGTATTTTTAATCTGAATACATCAAGGTAGGTGAAACAAAATCCCGTTGCTTTTTAAACAAATTCCAGATAAAGTGTCTCTAAAAAAATAGAAAACAACACCAACTCCCATCATTGCAACAGCCTCTAAGACTACGTGCCTTGATTGTTGAGTTGACCAAAATGAAGTAGATTTCTAGATCTCTGTGTTTTAAGGAGGTTAGCTTTAAAAACAAAATCGCCACCCCAGGTTGAAGTGCTCATAGATGGTGCCTACTTTTTTAAAAATGTTCAAATTAACTCGGAGAAGTCCTCCAACTTCATTTCTTTATTTCAAGACTGATCTCCTTATTGCAACTTTTATAGGCTACACCCATGTTGATTTCCAGCACTTCCTAGACTGACCGTATCATATGAGATCACTCAGTCATTCCTGGGGAAAGACTGGTCTTGCCTGCAGAGAATCTGATGCTGTTGTAAAACTTTTGGATTTTTTAAAATTAAATGAAAAGGGAAAAGGCCTCCTAACCACTTTGTTCATGCATGAAAACGAATGCAGCTCATTTGTCCTCACCTTGAACTTCTTATTGAGAGGGAAGGGAAAAATAGCTGTAAGTAGAGGGAGGAACTAACTGTGCTGATCTTATCACTGAGTAATACAACTAAAACCAAGTGGTAACATCATATTTTATTGTACGAGTGCATTAGTTGAATCAGATAGAAGTTACGCTTCATTACTAAATACTAAATACATTGCTAAATTCTTTTCAGCTTTCTGTTATACAGCATATGTGATGCAAAATATAGGTAGTCCTTGAGTTACAATCATTCATTTAGCAGCAGTTCAAAGTTATGACAGCACTGGAAAAAAGTGATTATGATGTCCTGACACTTATGACCATTGCAGCATCTCCATAGTCATATGATCAAAATTTAGGCACTTGGCATATACTTACAACAGTTGCAGTGCCCCAGAATCATGTGATCACCATTTGCAATCTTCCCAGCTGGCTTCACACAAGCAAAGTCAATGGAGGAAGGCAGATTTGCTTTTCAGAAAACCCAGCATGAACAGATCCACAATAGATAGCTAGTTGCTAGCTTCTATCTAGTTGAAGACCTTTAGTGACAGAGAGTTGTCTATCCTCCTATATAATGAATTTCATTGATGAAACTCTCTTATTGGCACTAGAGCAGTGATGGCGAACCTTTTAGAGACCGAGTGCCCAAACTGCACCCAAAACCCACTTATGCATCGTCAGGTGCTGGGTGGGTGTGGCCCATTGGGTGGGCGTGGCTGCGGTGGTAACAGCAGACTGGGTGGGACTAAAAAGTTCAATCAATCAATTCCAACTTTGCAAGATCTTTTTTTTTCCCACGAGAAGTTGAAATTGATTGATTGAACCTTTTTTTTTTGTACACGGCGGCAGAGGCCTAAAGCGAAAAGGTTTTATAAAACCCAGCTGAAGGCCTAGGACTGGGGCGACGGCACACATGCCCACAGAGAGGGCTCTGAGTGCCGCCTCTGGCACCCGTGCCATAGGTTCGCCACCACTGCACTAGAGAGTTCTTCAACAAATTTAACCCATAATCTGTCCTGATCATGTACACTTATTAAATCCAAGTCCCTCCCTCTTAGACAAGGCAAAATAAATATTTGCGTCCTTCCATGTGGACATGTGAAAAGCGCTAACACGTCCTTACTCTTCTATTCCCAGGGCTAAACACATTCCATCCCTTTAACTTTTATTGCCTTTATGATCTCTTCATATTCTTATTAAAATGAATAGTGCACCCAACATCCTTTTACCCTGTTTGCACTTACGATGACTTTCTGCAGTGGGCCGCACTGAGCACCCATGATGGGTGAATGAGCGTCCCTCCACAGATCAGCCTGCATCCTGAGAATAGGGCAGCCTGCCATGGCTGGGAATTGGGCAGACACGGTTTTCCTCCCAGGACTCTTTCTCCTTCCGCTGCAGTGGCTGAAAAAAAAAGAGAGAATAAAAATGAATAAACCACAAACAAAGGAAGAAAGGATCCCAGAAGAACTGAAAGATGCGTTAGTCAGAAATCAAGGACTCTGGTTCTAGGAAAGGATGAGATTCTCTTTTGATCTGAGTAAGACACATTATGGGTCCCCTCTCTGAAGGAGGTCCATCTGGTTCCCTCCCTATGGAACATCATCCCTGCAGAAATAAGATTGGCCCCCACTTTGATACTCTTTCAAAAGGCCCTGAAGATACGGGCCGAAGCACCTCAGGATTATATGGAGCCCAAGTGGTTGGCTTGATTGTTGTTGCCTTGTTGTCGTTATTGGCTTTTGTATTAGAGTTATATTTCTGTAAGCTGCCCAGAGTCACAGTGAGTAAGCTGGGAGGCCATATAAATTTTCCTAATAAATAAAGAAATCTCCACAGAGCATTCAGGTGATGGATCACCTGTGTAAGGGTAAACTTTTCCTACATAAAAATCTCATCTAGTTGTTATTTACTATGGTGAAAAGAAAATTCCAGCCTCTTTGAGAGTCAGCCTCATCAGCCGGGAATCAGCAGGGAATTCAGATTCAGGGCTTAAAGAGTGGATTAATGAGAAAGTGTGTGTGTGTGTGTGTGTGCGTGTGTGTATCTGTATGTTATGACAACATAGAGAAAACACAAAATACAGCAAAGTAAAAGGAACTGCTGTTTGACGTCTCCATTCAGCCTAGAAAAAGTCCTCAGTGTAGATTTGTGAACCAGATCACTTAACCCACACCAGTTTTCCGAAGGATGCTTCCTGTTTCATCAGTTTTGGAAGCAGCTCATCTCTTTTTGCACAGAATGGAGGCCTTCCCTCCAGCAGGAATGTCAGGTATGATTAAAAGGACCTCAATTGCTATTCAACTCCCCACCTCTCTGCCTAAAGGAGTCACCACGACAATTATATTTGTTTTTATTATGTTTCCATTTATGAAATATGGGAGAAAGGCATTTGCAGGAGGCTATCACAACTTGCCTAGTCCTGCATATGGTGCAATGCAAGACATTTATATTTGTGTGTGTTTGTGTGTCCTCGGATTGACCCCGGATTCACCCTACCCCTGTCATCCTCAACTCATATTCAACTATGTTCACTGTATTTTAAAAAAAAGCAGGTACATTTCCAAGATCTTATCTGAAGATGCCAGGTACATTTTCAAGATCTTACCTGAAGATGCCATGTATAAAACGGCAGCCAGTAACTTGAAGAAAAGATGTAACATGGTTGTTAACTACAATAATGGTTCCCAAGAATAAGATCTGTTAAAAACAAGAATATTCAGAAATGTAAGAGGCTAACATTCCGCCATCTTGGTTTACCAAACCATTCAGCATAATGGTCAGCATGAATCTCACAGAAAACAGACACATAGAAACTTTGACTTTACAGGAAAAATAAAGAATCATAGATTTGTGTACGCCTTTTCAAAAAGTGGGCCACCTGAGGTTGCAAGGCTGAAGTTGACCCCTACAGGTCCTTTATGTTGCAATCCTCAGAGTCCCCTCACCCATTATTGTCCAAAGCAGCAATGTGGAGTTCTAGCCATTTTGAGGTGGCAAACAAACAGACTCTAGTGGTGAAGAAATCAGGAGACTGTGAGTTTTAGTCTCACTTTAGGCATGAAAGCTGGCTGGGTGACTTAGGGCCAGTCCTTCTCTCTCAGCCCAACTTACCACACAGGGTGGTTGTTGTTCTGGGGAAAATAGGAAGAGAAAGGTGTATTATGTACGTTAACTGCCTTGAATTGCTTATAAAAATAAAGAAACGGGATATAAATAAAAAATCTGTATGCTCAATGAATTAACCTTATAGATAAATGGCACTCATGCATACCTTCACCCGATGCTACAAATTATAGAAAAGCAAGTTTAAAAGCCAGATCATTCTGACTTACAATCACGAGGTCTTTTCCAGCACCTCAATACAAGTGCATATAACTGAGGTACAGTATTAAGGCTGCAATGCAATACAGGAACACGAGAACTACAAAAGTGACAAAACTCCCTAGAAGAGGAGTAATCTCACAAATAGATGGAGAAGGCCTAAGTATGGTTGCATTTCATTCCAGGGTTTTGGATAAAAAAATCTAAATCTCTAACCAAACCTAGCCTAGCCTTGCTTAGCAAAAACAAAGATCCTCCAAATCTAGGATGGAAACAGAAAATCCAGGCTCTGCTGCATAATATTCACCTGTTCCTTCCCCAAAGTGATTGGCAGCCATTAACCCCAGAAGACTGCTCAACTCTTATGGTCCAGAGTCCAACTCCTTGGCTAGAAGTGGCAATTTACATCTATCCCACATCTGTCAAATGCCATAAATCAAGGCTGCAAATATCCCTGTTCATTTACTGGAATAAAATGATCAAATTAGCAGCTGTCAATGCTGAAATCTCCTGACAACCAATTTCCTCTGCCCCCAGCAGGGATCTTCTGCATGATGCTCCTGGAAAACACATACATTTGTATAGACCTTGAAATCAATTAGAGAGACAGCAAGGAAGTATAGGCAGTTCTTACCCCCAAGATGTGGGAATTCAATGATTTGCCTTCCAGTTCCCTTCTAGCTTTTATCTGGAGTCTTGCCTCCGATTGGCCAATCTTGGGTTAATCAGGAAGCGCTTCTTAACACCCCGCCTTTATCTCTCTTAGTAAGTGACTAGGTCCAAATCCACTTTTCAGATTGAATAACTACCTGATGATATAACAGGTGACTGTGAAAGAAGGAGGAAGAGGCCCCTCAGAATTTGCCATATTGAAAGTCGAATCACACAAATCTCCCCATTTATTACGGACACTTGTTCTCCCTTGCACAAGCTGTCTGAATCATTTGCTCCAGTGACAGGCTAACTTTGCCGCAAATGGTTCCAATGTGGTTTGGAAATGCAGCTGGCCTTTTTATGAGCTAAGGTGAATTGGTTGCCTCTGGCAGCATATTACAGGTACCATTTTTTATGGCTGTATTCATCCCTTTACTCAATTACCTCTGGCATTTATTAACTACTGTCTCTGCCCAAATTGGCACCTCTAGTGATACTTAATTATGACCCATAAATAAAGATGAGAAGGGGACAGAAGTTCATTTAGTTCGCATTTGAATCTGAACTTAATTTATGTCTCATTTCCTGAAACAACACGCATATTGAAAAAACATCTGTACTTTTGTAGCTATCTTTCTTTAAATGTTGCAGTGTAGCTCTCCAACCTGTGTGTGCCAAAATATGAATACTAGATGGAAGAAACACCCAAAAGGACACATGTTGGTGAATAGCAAATGAAAATGCTTGCGTTGGCACACTTACAAAAATGTATATAATAAAATGTCCCATTCATACAAGTCATTTGTTCTGTGAGATGGACAACTATATAAGTTTGATAAATAAATAAATGAAAATACAAAGATCTCCAAATTAAAAGAATCCAGCATAAACATGTATGAATAATTGTATGCATAAAAGAAGACAGGGTCAACCTATTAACCAAAGCATCTGAAGGCAGGACAAGAAGCAATGGATGGAAACTAATCAAGGAGAGAACCAGCCTAGAACTAAGGAGAAATTTCCTGACAGTTAGAGCAATTAATCAGTGGAACGACTTGCCTTCAGAAGTTGTGGGTGCTCCAACACTGGAGGTTTTAAGAAGAAATTGGAGAACCATTTGTCTGAAATGGTACAGAGTTTCCTGCTTGACCAGGGGGTTGGACTAGAAGACCTCCAAACTCCCTTCCAACTCTGTTATTCTGTTAATTTTCTGTTAAAGGGATTGAAGAAAAAAAACTACAAAATTGCATTTGGGAGATTTGTCTGTCCCTTTAGAAATCAATCACAACAAAAATGGCAAACACAAACTTAATCTTAGCAAAAGATGAAAGTTTTATACCTTCATAAGAGAAACCAGAGTAACTTTAAAGCAATGCTAAAATGTGTTAGCAATCAGAGAGTTAGATTAAAAATGACTAAAGTTAATAAAATGATATTTTGTGTAATAATATGTGTGTTTTAGATATGATAATTATTTGGATGAGATTTAAATTCTACCTAATGGACTGAAATGATTTTGTGTTTTATTTTGCTTTGTTCTGTTATAGAAATAGATTGACTGTTAGACTATATATACATAGAGTAGAGTAATATTTTTATCTTAATTAGGATAATTATTTTGTAGTGGAAGAAGAAATAAGATAAAATTGTGATAAAATTAATGATTTATTAGATTAAGAATTAGAATACATCTGGAAATATTAGAATGTTATTGCTGGAATATTATGTGTATTTTAGAAGGGGTACCCGAAGTGCTAATAATATGTTTATTTAAGATTAAATCGGATTATGGTAATTGTAAATTAGTAAAGCTTAAAAACAGGATTTGGATCTATATAAATGTAATCTAGAAATGGATTATTTTAAATACGTTATACTATTGGAGGGAAACAGAGAGGGAACGTCTAATGTATTAATTTGAGTTATATATATATGACTTTGTTTTTGGATGATTGATTACCCCATCACCACGGTGTTTCTCAAGCATTTTGTTGTAAAAGTTAAAAAACCAATAAAACTTGTTTTTTAAAAAAATGACTAAAGTGCAATTAACAATAACCACAAGTAATATGAGCACCTTCCATGCACAATAAAATTAAAAACTGGACACTAGAAGTACTAAAGATTTTAAATAGAGGAAAAATAAATACAAGCCTTCAAAATGATGCAAAGAATTATAACAATGAAAATTCTAAAGAAGAATTTTAAGAATGGAGTCAGAAATTAGTAGCCACTATATCAACAATGTCAGTAAAGATGTTTGCTTCTATGGAAAGACTATTTCCAAAAGATGTTATTGACAAAATGAAAGATGTAGACAAAAAATTATCTGACAACATAAGGAGTAGTATTGAAAGTGGATTTACAACTGACAGACCATGAGAATGACTTAGAAAAAGGATGTTTCACTGGATCTATGAAAGAAATTGGCTGAGGTTTTAAAAATGTGAATGACAAAGCAAAAAAGTGACCTGGATAATTTTTCCTAGTGTATTTACAAAAGAGGCTTATTAAAGCTTTGAATACCTCTGTGCGATGGAACAAAGAAGAAATAAAATAGAATCTATGACATTATTTGAATGAACTAAAGATTAAGGTTGTTAGAAGGAGAAGGAAGGAATATAAAATTGGTTTATTTGATCAAAGTTAAAATGTTGTTACTTCTGGCAACTCTTTATGGACTTTCTGCTAATAGCAGGGCTGAAAAGATGAGGTTTCATAGATTTATCTACAAGTAAGAAGTAGGATATGGGATGAAGAGATAAATGTTTGTAATCCCTAGAGGGAGTGAAGAGTCACTAATTTGTTTACATTTATAATGAAGCTTAGAAATCACATTTTATATATTTCTTTTCTCTTTATTATATTCATACTTTTCCATTTTTTCTCCTTTCTTTTCCTTGCACATTTTATTCTTTCCCTTCCCTTTCCCTTTTTTTAAAAAAAATAGTTTAAATCTGGTGGAAAAGGTATTATCAGACTTTCCCTGGTTGTTTTTTTTTTTTTTTTTTCTGCTTTGGAGACTGCTTGGTTTCTTCTAACATCCTGCTAATTTGAACTGCTGATTATGGGTAGACAAATAACATCACAAAGAGCATCAGTGATGGGCAGATATAGCATCTATAAAAGTATTGCAGGAAAGGAGGAAATAAAAACTTAAAACACATACCTACACCCAATGTCTGCTTAGAATTGGATACTGTAGTAGGAATTATATGTGTAAATATTAATATATATGCATACAAATTAGCATATTATGTACATATACATATGCGGTTTTCTCTGGACTCACTAGCCCAGGGGTCCTCAAACTTGGCCACTTTAAGACTTGTGGACTTCAACTCCCAGAATTCCCCAGCCAGCATGGCTGGCTGAGGAATTCTGGGAGTTGAAGTCCACAAGTCTTAAAGTGGCCAAGTTTGAGGACCCCTGCACTAGCCTTCAACCACAATTCAAAGATGCTCCCCAGCCAGGCTTTCCTTTTTCTTGACCTCAATTTTATACTGCATGACAGACCAAACTTGAATATTTTTCCTGCAAAGACAGTGCCCTAGAAGAGACTGTCACATGTTGTTTGGTCTAGTGTGGATATTCTGGGCTTGCGACATCCATTCTGGGTAAAAAGAGGCAATTTTAAATTGGGTGTTTGTGTGAACTACTCCCAAAAGCATTTGCTTGGAGAGGA